AGCACCTTACAAATTAAAGAGACATCTTTGTCAAGACCAGAACGATTTGATGGCATTTACTTCTAGGCTTATTATGGATGATAGTTTAAATACTAGCGTGTATACCCCGGCCTTGCCCGTGACAAGTATATAATTAAATCTCTTAAAGATATTTGAAAATTCGATTTTAAACTTTTCTGATAAACAAATAACTTGTCAGCCAACTTACACACACTGAAATTTACCAAATCGCTGAAACGTCTAAGTTTGAAGCAAAACGGACACAACTAAAAACTAAAATCTCTCTTTCCACTGAGGAAGCTTTGATTTTGCGAAAAGAGTGAAACACGTCTCAAATGATTTCTCATAAAGATCCTTGAAAATGCATCCATTTCCACCAGGAGAATTGCATTTTCCACAAACTACGAAACATCCCTCCAATGAATTTGAACAAAGATCTTTAAAACTAAGTTTGCGGCCGATCGGATGGTTAACAAAAAAGTTTCATACAAACGTTTCTCGAACAAATGCGACAATTTCAGTTTCAGTGAAAATTTCAGCTTCGTAGCTCTTTGCGGCATGGGCTGTGCGTTGATCAGCAATCACTCAGTCAATAAGTTAGTCAGCACAAACAGTTTTATATATACAGATATGAATATTACACATGGGCTCGAGTTACTACATTAAATGTTCCGGAAGAAATACTGGAAATTTATCAGCACAATTGGAGATTATCCAGTTACATGTTTTACTATTTAATAACTGATATATAGGAATGCTATAAATAGTTCTCTGTAACTGCAGAGAACGTGAGCTTTTGCATGTACATGATTCCGCAACAAGAAGCGGCAAAGTGCAGCAACAAAGCGTTCCAAAGGAATGCACAGGAAATGCCGCAGAATGTTGCACAGACCGGGGAAATACTCGAATAATTTCATTTGATTAGAATGCAGAATATGTCCAAGAATTTGCATGCAACAATTTGATTAATCACAAGAGAACACAAAAGCGAGCTGCACGCGGCACTTGGGCAAAGGAATGCAGCTGATGTCAGCTACTGGACGCCAGGTGGCGCTCTGCCCGGCTTGCAACTGTGGCAGCAGACACGCCCCATTCAATTGGCGCTAACTTGCCACAACGGGCTGCTGCTGCTACCCATTTGGCATTGCAATTAGAGAAAAATGTCAGCGCGCGCGCAGCAATTATATAATTGAGTTTGACTGGGTCAGCAATGCGACACAGTCACTGCATTTACTAATTGAGCTGGCGGCAGGAGATGGTTCAGATATCGTGATATCACATAGATAAAAATAATAATAAAAAATAGAGCACAGTGTGCGCGACACTTGACATCAAATATTATTAGACGTGCAGCCAGAATGTCGCTCCACAACTAAAGCTGATGACACCGTTTGACAACATTGACACACGCATCTTCAGACAAACGCATCCGATAGATACAAAGATACTTATGTAACTTTGTGCTCAGCGAGCAGCTAATGGCCCGGAACTGCACTCGGCGCGGATTCCCTGTGGAGTGGGCGTGCGCCAAGTGCTGGCATTGTCTCAAACTAAGAGGAGTGTGCGTGCGGGTGTGTGTGCGGGTGTGTTTGAACTACAACCAAGTGCATGATATGCCGCATTAAACGCGATAAGCGGCGTCGCCCAAGAGTGGAGCATCCACTGCTGCCCGCAAACTTACCACCAAGTGGCACGCACTGTGGCAGTGGATAAGTGGGTTAAGTTATTGAGTACATATCAAATTACACGCTCAATACTTCTTGTTCATAAGGCATGCGGTTACAGGAACTCAAATCAAATTTCTAAGGGGTGCATCATTTTCCTTTGTCAAATGGTATGTTAAAGGAAGTGTGCTCCAAGTATGTGCTGAAATATATGTTGGGCATGAAAAAAGTTGGCATATTTGTAATGGCAACGTTTCACTTCTTTAATTTATCAATAATATTTAAAAAATTTCTTAGTATTTTCAGATCATGCTATTCAATCTCAAAAAGGACAGCAAATTGTAAGCAATATTTCCTCACAGATCTTTAAGAATGTGATTGATAGAAAAACAAAATAATTTTCCATTGTGCCCTTACCATACATTCTCCAACGGCAAGAAATTTGGCAAAATGCAGTCTTAGTATTCACTTGCCGAACACACAAGGTAATCATTGTGGACTGTGCATCAATCGGTCAGTCAGTCAATCAATCAATCAGGACAATCACCGAACTACAGGGTATCTCCTCAAGCTCGTTAATTTGTTTCTACGTGCTTTTAATAAACATTTGTGTAAACATACTGAGTTTTAACCTTGCAGCTCAATTCCTTTGAGGCCTCTCGCCCAGAATTCAGCCCGTTTCGTAAGCGACACACATTGAGACTCGTAAATTTTATGTGTCCATCAAATTGTACAAATGTCGTGCCAAAAAAATGCCCGTAAATTTGAATAAATATGTATGCAAAGCGTCGCCACATGAAAATTAATCACTGACAGCAGCTGTCGACAATTTGGAGGTTCGTTTTTGGTTTCGGGGTTTATTTTTTTGGCGCCCACCCCCGATTCGAGTAGGCCGCCCCCTCACCCCAGACCAAAGCCCGACTTTTTGCATCTGCATTTGACTCTGCCTGCGAGCTATTTATTTAAGCAATTGGATTTATGTTCGGGCGAGAAAACAAATAAATAAAAGCAATAAAACTTGCAAACAGCAAACGCACAAAACATACAAATTTGCTTATGAAAACAGACGCAGACAACAACAACAAAAGTGAATAACGAAAAAAATTCAAAACTGCAACTAAAAGCGTGAAAAGTTTGTTTGGGCGACAAAGTGAGGGGCAATTGCTTGTAAGAACAAGCCGATGATTTAATACCCTTTCAGGCATTTTGCATAGAAATGCGATAGATTTATTGTTACTATGGTAGCATATGGAAGATTAAATACCCTTTTAGACATGTGGTTTAGCTAAGATTGACTGATAGTGGCCATATAATATGGTAGTCCAATTTTTTACGGGTTTGCATTTGGGTTCTCCCGGAGTTTTGAAAAGCTCGTAATAGCTGAAAAGTTTGCTTTGAAAAAACACATTTTGTAACCAATTTTTCCTATAGAGCGATATGATATAATAGTCAGATTTGGAAAAGATTTGGCTAATATATGCTGAACAGGGTAGAATATAGAATATATGACAAGTTTGAGAATCTTGAAAAATACAAACGTTTTTATAAAATAATGTATTTTTGACCGATTGTTCCTATGACTACTATTATATGATATAGGTGCTCGAGTCGTCTGCGTTTCAGGAAGGTAACTTTCAAATTGGGAGAATAGCTTGCATAGAAAAGAACAGGCAGCCATGTCTATATTGACGTGGCTGATACTGATCAAGGAATATATACTCTTTTTAATTCCATGACAAAATTCTTATACCCTAAACAAGGGTATATAGAAAAAATCAGACAAGGTAAATAAAAGCATACGTACCCCTAGCGACCCCATCAACAACATCTACAAGCAACTACAACTTCAGTCTGTCTGATCTCAGCGTTTGGATAAAAACACGACGCGCGAGCCTCAAGAACCCGGCGTGGCCCCAAAAGCTACCGCTTGTCTCCGTTAGCGACGCCGGTTTGACATTCACATGTAGCCCGCTTGTAGTTCAAGGTGCGCCTGACAACTGTTCAAGCGTCAGACGATGCGGGCACAGTGAAGCTTGCCTAAAGCAGACAAGGCTTAAAGCAAGAACTGTCTGAGAGTGAGACACAGTTTTTAACTTTCCAGTTACAAGATAGAAAATTGATGATTATATGAATTGTAATTTAGCAATATATAAAAATGAGAAAAGTTGGATTATAACACAAGTATTGAAATTCGACTAGAGGCACCCAAAAAATTATAACAGGAATTTGCAAGCTTAGCGCAAGCGTAAAACAAGTTTAAATTAAGTATAACATGTGCTCAATGCAAATCTAGTATAGCTTAGATTGGCATAAAACTTTCATTAAGGAATTGTAAAACTCATTAAAAATAGTTAATGAAATACGAATTGTGTGCTTTATTTAAAAAATTAAATTATGACAACTGCTATACTTGATTGAGTAGAAAACTCTTTCGATTGTAGGAGGAAAAAATCTCAAGCCAGTATCTGACATTCATTTTTTACATCTACTTATCAGTCTTCCTTGTCGTTTCCGTTGCTTATAGTCAAGCTCCACTGTGGCTATAGCTTACTTTCTTTCATTGGACAAGCACAACTAGAAGGCAGTTTTGTATATGCATTGTAAATTGACAATGATTGCCCACAATTTGCTCAGCACAAAACGCGACGCGACGAGAACTGCAGATGCAGATGCAGATACAAAATGCAGATACAGATACAAACAAACGAACAACAACAAAAATACAGACATAACCGTTGTAGCTGCCACTTTGGACTTGTCTGACTGCCGCATAATTCATGCTACTTAAGTTTGTCGCACGGTCAACTTGACACGAACCGAGGGCCGCGCACAAATAATAATAAGCGCAAATCGGTAAAAAGGAGACGATTCTTGACGATTCCCTGACAACTTCTCGCTGAATTTACAAGCAGCCTCAATCATTATTCAATTAGGATTGATGCTAATGAAGTCGTTTAAAACGCGTCGCTAATTGACAGCCCGGCCCAAGCAATGATGTAAGCCCCTCTGAGCGCTGCCTGGTACAGATCCGCGAAAAATATGGTAACTGCCCAAAAATGGCGCCGCCATCAAAGTTGCACAGCATATAAGGTGCAACATCTACTGATGGCTACAGCCTGTGGCAGTTCGATTGAGTTGCCACCTGGGTTACGTTTGGTTTATAGAGACAAACGTCTGTATACGGCAGACTGGCACCTAATAAAATTGCCAAATGCAACTTGGAAAGTTTTCGATCAAGTTTACAGAAACTTTTCAATAATTTTACAAAAGCTGACTATGAACATTTCTGCTTAAATGTATATAAATATCTTTAATTATTAGAAATATGTTTCTTACCACTCGATTGTGCCAGCTTCCAAATGCAATTAATCTGCAATGAAAAAATATATACCAAAAAAATTATTACAATTTTTATTAATAAACAAACGATTGCTGCAGTAAAAGATTGATCGACTTTATGATACCCTCCAGCCAGCTGTAAGCTGTCTTTTCTTTCGCAATATTAAAAAAAAAAAAAACTCATCTTTCAATCGATATGCAACAATTAAAGCCTTAATAAAGTTTATATCATCCAATACTTATGGGGAGTTCCATTTTTATGATTTATTTGAGAACAAAAATTCAAAAATTTGGTAACTAGCTAACACAATGTAAGGGAAATAGTCGATAGTTATCGATGTAAGCCCAATAAGTTAACGAAATAAATTAGATTAAATATATCTCTCTTGTGGGTTGGACATGTTACAAAAGTGTACTCTACTGCAATATGCCCTGTTTTAGCCTCGTTCGATGGGTATACAAAAAAATGAAACTTGCTATCAAAACATAGAAAATCCATTTGGAAGCTACGTACAAAGCTTTTGTGCTGCACAAAATCCGCTGAACTGTTGCTGGGGCCAAAAGCTGCCTGGTAATCTATCAGTTGAGCCGACATTATCGCTGTAAATCTCACGAGCTTGATGCGATTAGGGGGCTGTTGTAGTTATGAGGCATGGCTGTGGTGTAGATCGTAGACTTAAGATGGGGCCATATGCTTTTCACCGTTAGGCACGACTTTAGCCAGACTAATTGCAATGCTGCCGCAGTCGCTGCCGTGGCATATGTAGTATGTGCGGTGGTTAAAAATGGAAAACCCGTTTAGAGTTGCCACCAAACGAGCCACTGCACGTGGCCACAGGCCGGGGCCAAGACCATTAAAAAGACGATAGAACAAAGAAGCCGCCGGTAGGAAATTGGAGCTTACACCCGACCAAAAGCCAACAAAGTCGGAGAAAGGTTCGCAAAGTCAAATGCAATTTGTGAGCGAATGCGAGCATGTGTTTGTGTGTGTGTGGCGGATGTGAGCATAAGCTGCAAATCGGTTTAGTTCAGTAAACATAGAGCAGAAGTCCAATCATAATTGAGAACCTAGAAATCAATTGGATTGCTTGTAAGCTCAATTACAAATTACAGTTCGCAATGGCTTTGCTATTGGCATTGTGGCTTTAGCCTCACGTCTCAGTTTAAGACAATGTTCAATTAAATAATTGGACTCCATGGACAATGCCATAAGAAACAGACCTTCACTTTGGATAGGCAATCAAGTAGTTAGCAGGAGAAAAGTTAGATTCCCCCTCAATTGGACTGAAAACTTTCTGTAAGAATCGCGAGCGAATCCATGGTGGCATCTTTATTGTAGACTCTTGATAAGCTTAGCTGCCTATTAATATCTCGCTTGAGAGGTAGAGATTATGATTTCCCTCCTGACAGAGCATCTGTTAGTCAAGATGCGCCTTCTCCTGTGGGCTCTGCTTGAAGGAAGACAAATAAGGTATGCACATCTGGGCAAAGTTTGTATCGCTAGATTCCTCAGATTAGAAATAAATCAGCAAGAGGCAGGACAAAGTCGAGCAACTCATGCGCACTTGCTAAACTAATTGTTTTGAAGAATTTAATTGTAACATCAGCATTATGATATATTTCTCTATATTTTCAAACCTTTGCATCTGTTTTTATCTTAAACCTCCATAAATCCTAAAAAAAAAAGTCCCTTACATGCAGGATTGATTGAAAGTTTTGTCATATGTTGCACTCAAACCAGAAACCAATTTGTTTTGCCCCCTTACAACCCACTCCCTGCTCCCGCTAACATTTCCCTTGACGCCCAACACTTTGGGGCACATTCAACTTGTGCTCTGTGCTATTATTTCCAGCATCGGCAAATGGAACCACCAGAACCACAATACAAAGGAAGTCTTTACAAACCTTGAGCAGATTTTTCACTTTCCTTTCCGACGGCTTAGCCAGGCAGAAGAAGAAAAAGCAGCAGCAGCGGAGTTTACAAAGTTCACGCTAAATTTAAGTTGTACAAAGCAAAAAGGCAGCCCAACCTTAAGCCCAGAAACCATCAAGGTGTGTGTCTGGGCACAGCTGTTGCCAACTCGCAGCGACTCACCCACAATAACGCCGCATCCGGAGGCACTGAATTCGATATGCCCCAGCCCCTTGAATCTGCACCCAACTCCCTCCCCGGCGCTCACATTCATGCTGAATTGCATATTTTTGCAGAGACCGCAGACGACTGCAATTGCTGCCCGCCAAATGGGATTTATGAATGCCCGGAGCCAAAGCCACAGCCTCGACCGAGACCCAGACCTCGCGTCTCAGCCAGGGCCAAGGCAAGCTTTAACAGAAAGCAGTTGCTGATAAGCGGCTGCAACTTTAAGTGTGGCATTTCGAGTGGATTGCTGATAACACGAGTGGCACCCGGCCCAAGCACTTATGTTTATCTAAATCCAAAACAACTCGTGACATACCCTCATGTAAAGTATGTCCAAAACAACAATGGTAGAAAAAAATCAATAGTCCAAGCACTTGGCAAATCAAATTGTTGCACCACTTGAGTGGGGAAGTGGGTGGCGGTGTTGTAGTACATTCTACGCAATTTGAGTGGCGCCCGCTCTGAACAGAATACTCGAATGTTGGCGCCATGTCCATGTTGCCATGCTCCCATGTCATGTACATGCATGTTGTCCATGTTGTGACTCCTCTTGTTGGTTTTTCTTTCGATTCTCCCTCTGTTTTTCTTCCTTGGGCACTTGACATGGCAGCTTGTTGTATGCGGCATCCTTGTCGCTGCAAATTAAACGTGCTGTCCCCAACTAAATTGCTATTAGAAAATTTGCTGCCCCTGACCGAAGTCTCCCTCGCTCACCTGACCAACATTTGATAGGTTCTTGGCCAATTTTCCATGCGGCTGACCAACAATTGTTGCGCCCAATGCAAATTAGCGCACTCTCTCGTCTGAACCTCTGTAGAAGCAACCTCTAGGTATTCATAATTGAGCACAGGACTCGGCTCGAAGCAGGCTCTATAATCTAGTTGTGGTCAATGGTGCCGGCCAATGGACTGGGTCAATGCAGTTGTGTGTGTTTGTTATTGATTTATGTGGTTCATTCCGAGAGAGAGAGGGAAATAGAGAGGGGGTTGGGCAAGCAGTTGATTAAATTTGCGGTTCTTAACAAGCGGCAACCGCAAATGTGAAATTATAATCATGCGGGAGCAGAAATTAGAGATTCGGTAAAGAAATTCGATTGCTGAAATATAAATCGATGCTAAGCATAATTCTGACCCAAGCAATCAAATGTTTTAACTATATGCCGAAAATTAAACTCAGCCAGTTGCAAAAGAAAAAATCTAACTGAAACTCGAGCCGCAGCAAATTTGCCTTCCAAAACAGTTGTGCCTCAAATATAAAACTTTCAAGTGGGAGAAATCATAGGCATACTGTGCTGCTATGTAGTAGAAAAGTCGGACTAGCATATCATATAGTTCCTATGGAAAGGATCGGAGCTTTACTGTTTAAACACTCGTATAGCTTCTTAACCATTTCTGAGTTCTCTAAGTGTTTTCAATTATAATCAAGTACTACCTGACAGGTACAGCAGCATCTTTGGGCATATTATACAGTCCACTAAATAAATCTATTATCTCCGAGCAAACCGCATGAGTTGGCAGCTAACCACAACAATGCCATCAGCAGCAGCAGCAACAGCAACAGACTGAGCCTTAGGCTTTGTCACAACAAATCTTAACTTGCAGGTTCAATTGTCGTTTTGTATATTGTCACGCCCACACGCACAGCTGGCATGCCAGATGTGTCCAAGTACCTCAAAGTGAGCTCATGTTTTGGGCATTTATGTGTATGCACATATATCTTTATCTGTGGACAAGTGCTCCTTGGTCAGCTGTCATAAATACCAGCAAATAGCACAGCAAACACAAGACACACACACACACACACAGCAGGCACACACACATAGTTGTCAGCTCAATTAAAATGCCGTTTGTTAGTTGTGCTGATGGCCAAGCTAATAATGAGCTTCCGTTTTATGCACAGTCTAAGCAAAAAGTATGACGCCAAGCAATCAAAATAATCCACACAATCCACCAGATACATTTGCAACTGTGCGACGCGTAGGCGTTGCTGCAATTATCTGAGCTTAAAAGTAATTAACAAGCGCTTGAGACAACACTGGGTAGCCAAGCCTTTATTGCCTATTTTCGGCGCACTTTTTAGACTAACATTAATTGGAATATTTGCAAAGAGAAATTGTTGTATAATGAATCAGCCTGTCGTCTGTCATTCGGTCAATTACTCAATCAAATGTTGAATAGGGCTCAAAGGGCGAAATTATGAACTTTTCACACCTTAATGGCCGGCACAAGCCCCCCGAACTGGTCACTGTCATTTAGGCGGGGCTGGTCAACTTACGGTTAACGGGCTTGCGGTTTGTTTATTTTCATTTTTCGTACACCTGCAATGCTATAAAATTTTATGGGCTCTAACCATAAAAGAGACATTTGCCTCCATAATTAATTAGCAAATATGTTTTATGACATTTTATGGCCAAAGTCGTTAATTTGTAACACAAAAAGGTACAGAAATTAAAGAGAGAAGCGGGAGAGACAAAAAGGAAAAAGCAATGCATCGTTCCAATTTTTGGAAAAAATATAGAAACTCTGTTGGAACGTATAACTAGTATAAGGTTTCAGATGCAGGTCATAATTTAAATAACATCATTAATAAGGAGGCTCAACTATGCCCAATAACAATATAAAGCCACACGGTTCGAAGTATACGTTATTTTGAGTGCCTCTTCCTTTAACTTGTTGAGAATTTGTGTGCCTCCTGCTTCAACTTGTTAAGAATTCAAGTGTAGGTTACCATTGTGCCCATCAGTGCTTTAACTTGTTGAGAATTCTAAACATCAAGCATCGAAAAATAACAAAGCTAGAGAAAACATAGTTCACACTCTGTGTGATATGCTATTATTTACATAAAAATTAATTGGCTTATGGCCAAGTATACCCTCATTAGAGAATTAAATT